TATTTAATTCTTAACTTGTGTTCAAAGGCTAAAAGTTAGTATTACCCTTATTTTTAAAGTATATTTATAATTTTTACATTGAAGTAAAAATGAGTTTTAATATATTTAAATTGAAGTCTCGTTAATTTATCTTAATGGGTAGGAGGCCGAACATCCAAATGTTTAAAAATGGATTTTAAATTGCCGACATTCACGTTTAAGAAATGAAATACAATACTAATTTATTAGACAAAAATATATTTAAAGAGAAAATGAGTGATGCATTGACAATGTGAATTAATTTTATATTGTCAACCAATGACAACTATGTATCTCACCACAATCAGACTTATATTTTAAATTCTTTTAATGACATGACAGACTGTTGATTTTCTATTGAATGACAATGTAAAACTATTTTACACGGTCAATGCATGTCCATTAAACCCATATTTAAAGTGAAACACCATAATTATAATATCAATTTAGATTGAACTAATGTGGTTTAAATGGACTTGGATTTCTGGTAAGGGAATCTTGCAGTCAGTCAGACAACTACAATATTTAAATTGATGTGGGACTCTAAACATGTGTTAAGAGTCTCACATTGGACAATATATGACATGAACATGTGTTTATAAGAGGGGGCAATCCTCACTCTGATACCATATGGTTTTGTAGGGTTGAGTTAGGTCCAACCACATTTCTTAACATGGTATCAAAAGCCTCGTTTAAGATCCGGTGGGCCACCTTCTATGGTTTTCGCTATCGGGCCACCCACCATTTATTTCCACGCTTCAGTTGTCCAATCCTGAGCGTGAGGGGGGGTGTTAAGAGTCCCACATCGGACAATATATGGCATGAACATGTGTTTATAAGTGGGGGCAATCCTCACTCTACCAGCCGGTTTTGTAGGGTTGAGTTATGCCCAACCACATTTCTTAACATGGTATCAGAGCCTCGTTTAAGATCCGGTGGGCCATCTTCAATGGTTTCCGCTATCGGGTCACCCACCATTTATTTTCACGCTTCAGTTGTCCAGTCCTGAGCGTGAGGGGTGTGTTAAGAGTAGTGGATACATTTGTAGTATCTTCTAACAATGTTTATCCACTCTCTTCTGTGTTATCTTACAATACCTGTGTCCCTGATTATCATGCATTTTGTTGTTCTATCTCAGCCATAGTTGAACCTAAAACCTATACCCAAGCATCTAAATTTGAGTGTTGGAGGGATGCTATGAATGTTAAATTACTTGCTCTTGATGAGAACAAAACTTGGTTTGTTGTTGAACTTCCCCATGGCAAAGTTCCCGTTGGTTGCAAATGGGTGTATAAGGTTAAATATCATGCCAATGGTTCAATTGAACGTTATAAGGCTAGGCTTGTAGCAAAAGGTATACTCAATTAGAGGGAGTTGACTATTTTGATACATTTTCTTTGGTTGCCAAAATCGCTATTGTTAGGGTCTTATTAGCTTTGGCTTCCATCAATGGATGGCATCTTGAACAATTGGATGTGAATAATGCTTTCTTGCACGGTGATTTGAATGAGGATGTGTATATGTCCCTACCTCCTGGATTTCCTGCCACTAATGAACCCAACAAACTTTGTAAATTACACAAATCCATTGATAGTTTGAAACAAGCTAGAAGGCAATGGTACTCCAAGCTCTCTTCCTCTTTAATTTATTTGGGATATACTCCTTCACAATCTAATCATTCTCTATATATAAAGTCTACAACTAACAACTTTACTGCACTCTTGGTGTATGTTGATGATATTGTTCTTGCGGGAAACTCTATCCATGAGATACAAACTGTCAAAATGTTTTTGGATCAGAAATTCAAGTTTAAAGATCTTGGAAAGTTAAGATACTTCTTAGGTCTGGAAATTGCAAGATCTGACACTGGGATCTTTGTCAATCAAAGAAAATACACACTTGAACTCCTTAAAGATGTTGGTTTACTAGGAACTAAACCTTCCTATATTCCTTTTCATCCTACTGCTAAACTTTCCAGCACTGATGGTGCTCCTTTGGAAGACCCCTCTACTTATAGAAGACTTATCAGAAGGCTTCTCTATTTGACACATACTCGCCCAGACATTAGTTTTTCTGTCCAGCATTTGAGTCAATTTGTTTCTAAACCTTTGGTCCCTCATTACAATGCAGTCTTGCATATTCTTAAATATCTCAAATATGATCCTGCCAAAGGCATATTTTTATCAGCTTCTAGTTCTTTGAAGATTAGTGCTTTTGTTAATTCTGATTGGGCGAGGTGCTCTGAAACTAGAAAGTTTATAACAGGATTTTGCGTGTTACTTGGTTCTTCTTTAATTTCTTGAAAGTCTAAGAAGCAAAATACCGTTTATAGATCTTCAACAGAGGCCGAATATAGAGCTTTGACCTCCTTAACTTGTGAAATTCAATGGTTACAATACATTTTTCAAGACTTCAAGATAATATTTTCAAATCCAGCTTCTGTGTTTTGTGACAGCAGGTCAGCTATTTACTTAGCTCACAATCCTACTTTTCATGAAAGGAGTAAGCACATTGAACTTGACTGCCATGTGATTCGAGAGAAAATTCAATCACAACTCATTCACTTACTACCTGTACCAAGCACTTCTCAACTGGCTGATGTCTTCACTAAGCCACTCAATCGTCTAGCTTTTTCTTCTTTTCTATCCAAGTTGGGTCTATGTTCTATCCATAGTCCAACTTGAGGGAAGCTATTGATGTAAATAATATTTATTTTGTTTTATTGTTATTGAGTAGTAGTGGATACAGCTGTAGAGTTTATCACATTGGTTGACACAACTATATAATTTATTTACATTGATTAGGATACTATTTATATCTATTTGTATTAGGTTTATATAGCAAAACAGTGCTAATCCTAAAGTGTGTAATATATTAGTTTTCATCCAAATAATGAATATTATGTTCTCTACATTGAAAATCAAGTATTTCATCAACTCTCAAATTCTTTTCTTTAAATTTCACCAAAGTTCCTCTTTTTAATGCCTTCCGCAAATCAACTGTAACTTTGATACACACGTATCTACCATTCCTATAGGCCTCTTTCATATCCATCACGACATACTCCCCTAGGATATTACCTAGTTTCCTCGCCATTGATTCAGATCTAAGAACAAGGGGAAGCTTGTAAACCCTAACCCAGAAGATCCCATAGTGCATGTTGAGATTTGCTGGTTGTTCCTCTCTTGAGATTCTTGCAAGAACCAGTGACGCCCTGTCAAAGCTTCAAGGACCATTCCTCATTACATATTCCATATCACGCTTGGATGAGAATTTGAAAAGGAAAAGATTATGCTCACCTCTTGTATCTCTACCGGGTTTTTCAACTTCCAGACCACCACCATCGTGCTCTTGAAGGCTCATATGTTAAAGCTAATGTCCTTCCATAACTTACCGACAAGAGATCGTTGAAAAACTTCTTCACCACTGATCTCATATGGAGCTGCTTCGACCCTTTCTTCTTCTTCCTTAGAAATAGGGTTTTTTTTTTCCATTATTCCATCTTCCAAAAGCACCAGGCCCACAAACAGAAAGAGATTAGGGCGAGTTTGATCTAAGATGCAGTAGGCAACAATGTGTTGCTGAGAAAGGTCTCGCATGCAAGGTGATAAGTTAGAAAGGAAAAAAGATTTGGAAAAAAAAGTGAATTAACTCCGGTAACCCAAATTGCATTTGAAAGAGAGTGCCAGATAAACTAGGAAAAAACCACCACGCAACACGAGATTTGTGAGAATTAGACACGTTAAATTTCTAGAGAGAAAAACTTTGACTTCTTTCTAAAAAAACACGTGAAGTAACAATGTCAATAATTTCAACAAGTTTAGAGAAAAAGAATTACAAGTATGATTTTATAAGAATTTTTTTAGTAATTTTTAATAAGTATGAATTGGTAAGAATTTGTTTTAGTAATTTTTAATAAATCGTGTTTTTTTATTTTTTAAAAGAAGATGAAGATTATGGGTTTTTGGTTTTTTTTTTATATTATAGACTGATTATATAGTCTTTAAATTGTTCACTGAATCATAATGTTACACATCATCAATTATGTCAACCAAAATTGGCGTTATATAATTTAAATGAGAAACACCAACTTCAGGGATTTTGAAAAGTTAAAAGAACCATATAATCATTTTAAAGATTATGAAATCAAAATAAATTCCGGACAATTAATACAAGAAAAAAAATATTAAACCAATAAAAAATATAATTCTTGGACAAACTTACTATTAGTTATAATAATTGTAAATTCACAAGTAAAACATTTGGCCATTAGGTTGAGTTCACACATCATAGACCAGACCCTGACACATAAACGGGCACTGTCGTTTTTTCCATAGCTATGGGTCTCTTTAGCATTATTTTACCACAAGCTACAAAAAGTCCACAATTCCATGATTCTATCTATTCATGTTTTGAGAAATTTGTTAACATCAAAATTTCAAAGTAATGGACCCACTCTCCCACTATTATTAAGATTCCTCAACTATGAGTTAGATAAGAAAAACCATCCTCCAAACCTTATCTACATCATAGATAAAATTAAAATGTTATTGATTCCTAAAATTAAAATGAACTTCAACGGTTCCATTCAAGTCCTTTTCGCATCAAATTGAGGTTATTCTTCATGCAACGGTTAGTTGATCAAAGTAAATTAAGACTATGTCTTCGGAAAAAGTAAATAAAACTGAAAAACCAAAAGATAAAAATAAGTCCAAAGATAACTAGCAAAAAAAATCATTATTCTCCTTTTGCCAAATAAATTTAATTCTAATAGTATTTTCTTAATTCTATATATATATATATATATATATATATATATATATATATATATATATATATATATATATATATATTAAAATCCTAATATAGAATCCATTCATATCCTTTATAGCATTCCACACCATTCACCAACCTCACTTCCTTTTTCTTTCTTCCACTAAAACTGAACCAAACTAGATCTCAATTCAATTGAGTAACCAAAAATGGAAGCTCTTCTTTCTCAATTCACCTTCCTCTCAGACCAATCTTTACTCGACAAGACCTTCGATCCCTCCACAATCGAAGATCTAATGAAGCTCTTCGAGATCGAGTCCTACAAAGCCTGGGCAGCCGCAGAGCTCGAACAAGAAACCGAACTCGAAGAAGCGGAGCACGCTATGCAAGAAGCCGAGGAACATCTCGATTCGGCGATGGAAAGTGCGATGGATGAATTCAGAAGGTTCGAAGAAGAGATGGAGAGGATTTCAAGAGATGAAGTTGAGAGTTTAGTTGAGACGGCTGAGAAAGCAAGGAAGATGGGGAATTTGATGGAGAAAAGTGCGGCTATTGCTTCAAAGAAGTATATGGAAGCTGCTTTGAATTCTGCTACTTCTTCTATGAAATCGGCTTGGAAAGGAATTTCTTCTGGAAAGGTTCATCCATCTTGATAGATCCAGAATCGATTTATCTATTTATTATCTATATGTAGCAAAAACTGCAATGAAACTAATTTGTTAGTGAAAAATAAAAATTGTTTTTCTTTAGTCGATGGATATGGATTTATTTTGTTGTTTTGAGTGACTTCAATCCAATTCATCTAAACTTTTTCTCAGAAAAAGTAGGGGGTTAGATCCAAATTGAGATGCTGAATGAACATGAATATGATTAACTAAAAGTGAAAACGAAAATAGATTCATTGTTCTTGATTGAGGAGGGAAATTCATTACATTATGGGGTGGATCTATCCGAATAATTTTAGATGAATCACTTTTTGTATCGATTATGCATCTATGAAGACCAGATATCCCAAATTCACGCCTTTTTATTATTCTAAATCAAATTAAGCTTAAATTTTTATAACAATAATTTAAATTAACGGACGTATATAACTAAAAGCAATAAAAATAAACAACATTGTATAGTTAGTTAAATTTAAATTACCACATCTAATGTTTATAAAATTTCTTAAATATATTCCACTAGATGTGATTGAAGTTGTTGATAAAATATTTTTTTCTTGAAGACTTTTTTTTTAAAAAATTTGTTGTAATATTCGAGCTTCTTTAAATATTTTAATTGTTATATATATATATATATATATATATATATATATATATATATATATATATATATATATATATATATATATATATATATATATATATATATATATATATATATATATATATATATATATATATATATATATATATATATATATATATATATATATACTTTTGAAGGTTTCTATTGAGAATTATGGGATAAGATGATAATAGGTTAGATAGAGGATCTGAATATTCAAATATATTTAAAAAGATAGTTAAAATATCTAGGCACCATACTCATCTAGAAATATGTCAGATAAAAAGAGACAGATTTTAGATATATATCAGAACACATTATTCATCTGAAATACATCAGAGAGATAAAGAAAATCTAGAAATACATCAGATAAGTTTTAGAAATATATCAGAGTGAAACACACATGCAAAAATACAGCGGATAGATAAAGAGACATTCGAAAATACATCGGATAAGTTCCAACAATACCTCAGAACATAACAATTATCTGAGAATACATCAGAGAGACTAATAAACATTCGGAAATACATCAGATTTCTGGAAATATCTTAAGAGCACAACGCTCATTTGAGAATACATTAGAGACAAAGAGACGTTCAAAAATACATCAGATAAGTTTTAGAAATACCTCAAAATATAACACTCATCTGAAAATACTTCAGAGAGACAAAAAGATGTCCATCAGATAAATTCTGGAAATACCTTAGAACATAACACTCATATGGTAATACACCAGAGAGATAAATAAACATCTGGAAATTCATCATATAAGTTCTGAAAATACCTCAGAATACAACACTCATCTAGAAATACATTAGAGAGAATAAGAGACGTCCGAAAATACATTAGATAAGTTTTGGAAATACCTCATAACATAACACTCATCTAGGAATACATCAGAGAGATAAATAAATATCCAGAAATACATCGAATAAATTATGAAAATACCTTAGAACACAACGTTCATTTGGGAATACGTAAGAGAGACAAAGAAACATTTAGAAATACATCGGAGAAGTAAAAGAAACAAACTCTAGAAAAGCATCAAAATTACAAAGGAATAGCTGGAAATACATCAGATAACAAAAAAGGTTTATGAAAATACATCAAATATAAATACATGTCCAGAAATTCATCAGAGAGTAAAAAAAACAAACTCTGAAAATGCATCAGAATTACAAAGGAATATTCATAAATACATTAGATGACAAAAAAAGGTTTCAAGAAATACATCAAAATATAAAGATATGTTCGGAAATTCATCTGAGAGTAAAAGAAACAAACTATAAAAATGCATCAGATTTACAAAGGAATATCTAGAAATACATCAGATAATAAGAATAAGTTCTGGAAATACATCAGAACAAAAAGACATGTTCAGATATTCATCGGAAAGTAACAGAAACAAGCTCTAAAAATACATCAGAATTACAAATGAATATCTAGAAGTACATCCAATAACAAGAAACACGTTCTGGAAATACATCAGAACAAAAAGACCTATTTGAAAATTCATCAGAGAGTAAAATGAGAAGTTGAACCTTACAAACAAACGTTTGTTTCTATAAGGGCCAACTAAGTTGTACTTTAACCAAAGAGGAAAAGTTGATTTTGACAAGTCTTTGGGGAATGCATATGAGTGTGACACTTTTGAGCTATGCATGATATTTGAATTATGCTTCTATGAACGATATATGAATGATCAATGCATGTTATGTTAATGCTTATGAAGTCTGAGTTAATGTGCCAAACACGAGGGAATTTTTGTGTGGTTGTTCGCTGTTAAATTTGGAGAACAACCGCTGGTTTAACAAATCTTAAAGACTCGTTTTAACTTGCAGGATCGACCACACTAAATCCTAGGACATAGCTAATTTGAGCTTAAAATCAAATGAAATCTAAAAGAGAAGGATAGATACTTCGACAGTATTGAAAATAATAAAAAAAGTTTTTGGCATTAAAGCAAGTAGAAAATGAAAGCAGTTTGGGGCGAAGAAGATAGCAATTCGAAGCAAAGGGTAAAGACCAAAAAATATAACTCGCATAAAAGCAGTAAAGTAAAGGAAGATTCTTATAAAAGAAAAGAAAAACTTTAATGCATTAAAATAAAAGAGGGTGTTTCAACACGTACATTCTCAGTTATAACTCTTTTCTCTCTTTGACTTGGATACTTTGAGCAATTTTCTGAGTGACTTGTACAAAATGAACACATATACACAAAATCCTAAATTGAGCCACTATTTATAACCAGTCGAAATAACCGCTCTTAATGACTCAATGGACTAGATTAAAACAAATGTCACTCTGCATGCTTTGATTACTTGAAACAGTGTCACGTGCCTCCTTCTAATGGCGGAAAATAACTGCATTTTCCTCCAAAATTCGAATTCAAACTTTAAAGGTTCTTGTCTGTCGAATCGTCTGTTTTCTGGTCGAAATCCTCGCGGTATAACCATAGTCGAAAACGATGCCTTAAATCAAAAACCTAACATTTCCACATGGGCGTCGAAATTCAAGGCTAACAAATTGCCCCTCAAAAATGTCACTTTCGACCTCTGGAGAAAATGACTTTTTTTTATACTCCATTTTGACGCCTCTCATGACCTTCGTATGTCTTTGAAGTCACATCCTCACTTACCTCATACTTAATGACATCATTAGCATTTATTACAACAGCTTCAACACGTCTCCCTCACGCATGCTACTAGCTATGATCATGCTCCTAGGTTCTAAGAAATCATGGCCAAAGAAAAGGCGAGTTATAGACTTAACTATTCACATTCCCTCAAACTTTTCTGGTACAACATGTGTCTCACTATAGCCATGTTAATCACCAACTAATCTTTTTCCATTCCCACGTTCTTTTACCTTTTCATATAAGTGGCGTCATCTTCCCAAAATCACCTTTTATTCCCTTTGTAATTCTCTCACAAAGAAACCCATACTTTTTCTTTCTTCTTCCACAATCTTCATTTTAACAATGTCTTCTTCCACCATGACCAACGATCACAAGAAAGCTCACAAGAAAGATTTGAAAAGAACCTCTCAGCTTCCACCTTTTGAAACGCTGGTTGGGCCTAAGGTGGTGGGAAACCAACAGTTCGCGCCTGAACCGCTAGAGGAGGAAAAATGAAAAATCTACATTTCTCAGGTACTAATTCCTTTCACTATTGATGGGAAAAGGCATGCCCTCTGCGGGCCTCTACCTTCTGTATATTTTCATTCTGAAACCATTAGAGACTTCTTCCCAGGCTTGATTGGCAATTTCAATTCGACCAGATCCCTATTCAAACCAGACATTTCATCATAGTCCCACGCAAAGCAGTCTCGAAACTCTCTTAGAAGTTGGACCATTTTGACCTTGAGTTTTGGGCAGATATTGGCACTTATATAGGTTGGCCTTCTCGTGGCCCCTTCTCCCAAGTCGATTTCTTTGAGCGGGTCATGCGCTAGCATCTTCACATTTTCTGCTAACAGATCCTTCTTGAATCCCAAAGGCTCATCATCATAGATGGCGTCGAGCCTCTGGTCTTGCAATTCTTCCTAAACCTTATCAGGAGGTTCTGGGTCGAAATCCTTTCCAGGATTTTCTTTGCGAGATTTTTTGCTGGCCTCGAAGGACATTTCTTTATTATTTCTGGCTTCGAAAGCCAAATTTTTGATCTCAGCCTCCAAGGCCGCTTGTTCTTCCTTTTCGGCTATATAAGCCAAAATCTTTTGCAATACTTCGAATTGAGTCATCATCACTAAATTCGCTTCCCCAACCAATGGGCTTGATTCCTAAGGTATCAAAGTAGGGAAAATCTCCTACCCTACAATCTCCATATCCCATCTGAAACCATGGACCAGATGTAAATACAATAAGCAGTAAGTGTCATCATTTTGGGTGAAATCGAAACCCGCTGGAGTACATGGTGCTATATTCGCCAAGTGTTTGTCGAAGCTCCTTCGATCAAGGTGATTAATAGGTACTTTAAAGTACCCCTGGCCAGCTTCAATATTCTCTATTATGCCATCAGGACGCCAGATGATTATCCTTTGATGCATCAAAGATGGGGCGGATCCAACACCGTTGATTCATTCTCTTCCTAAAAGAAAATTGCAATTTGCTTTGGTCTCGACGACCATGAAGACAGTTGGCCTTGTCACAGTTCCCACAGTAAGGCCAACTTGGATTACCCCCATGGTAGTCCCAACTTTACCTTCATAATTTGACAAGACCATGTTGTGAGGCTTGGTATCAACTTCTGACTTCCCAATCCTCTCTAACATATAGTGTGGCATCAAGTTCACAGTGGCTCCACAATCCACTATGACCTTATTCACTGCCACATTCTCAACTTTCGCTGTGATAAACAAAGGC